CTAAGAGTTTTATAGTGTCTGGTCTTACATTTAGGTCTTTAATCCATTTTGAGTGTATTTTTGTGTATGGTGTTAAAGAATGTTCTAAATTTCATTCTTTTACATGTAGATGTTCAGTTTTCCCAGCACCACTTATTGAAGAGGCTGTCTTTTTTCCATTGTATATTCTTGCCTCGTTTATCAAAGATAAGGTGACCATATGTGCATGAGTTTGTCTCTGGGCTTTCTATTCTGTTCCATTGATCTATATTTTGGGGTTTTTTTGGTAGTACCATACTGTCTTGATTACTGTAGGTTTGTAGTATAGTCTGAAGTCAGGAAGCCTGATTCTTCCAGCTTGGTTTTTCTTTCTTAATATTGATTTGGCTCTTCAGGGCCTTCTGTGTTTCCATACAAATTGTGAAATTTTTTGTTCTAGTTCTGTGAAAAATGCCAGTGGTAGTTTGATAGGGGTTGCATTGAATCTGTAGATTGCTTTGGGTACTAGAGTCATTTTCACAATGTTGATTCTTCCAATCCAAGAACATGATATATCTCTCCATCTGTTTGTATCATCTCTCATTTCTTTCATCAGTGTCTTATATAGTTTTCTGCATACAGAAATATATAGTTTTCTGCATACAGGTCTTTTGTCTTCTTAGGTAGGTTTATTCCTAGGTATTTTATTCTTTTTGCTGCAATGGTAAATGGGAGTGTTTCCTTAATTTCTCTTTCACATTTTTCAACATTACTGTATAGGAATGCAAGAGATTTCTGTGTATTAATTTAGTATCCTACTACTTTACCAAATTAATTGTTTAGCTCTAATAGTTTTCTAGTAGCATCTTTTGGATTCTCTATGTATAGTATCATGTCATCTGCAAACAGTGACACCTTTACTTCTTCTTTTCCAATTTTGTTTCCTTTTATTTCTTTATCTTCTCTGATTGCTGTGGCTAAAACTTCCAAAACTAAGTTGAATAATAGTGGTAAGAGTGAACAACCTTGTCTTGTTCCTGATCTTAACAGGAAATGATTTCAGTTTTTCACCATTAAGAATGACGTTGGCTGTAGGTTTTTCATATATGGCCTTTATTATGTTGAGGTAAGTTCCTTTTATGCCTACTTTCTGGAGGGTTTTTATCATAAATGGGTGTTGAATTTTGTCAAAAGCTTTTTCTGCATCTATTGAGATGATCATATGGTTTTCATCCTTCAGTTTGTTAATATGGTGTATCATTGCTTGATTTGTGTATATTGAAGAATGCTTGCATTCCTGGGATAAACCCCACTTGATCATGGTGTATGATCCTTTTAATGTGCTGTGGGATTCTGTTTGCTAGTATTTTGTTGAGGATTTTTGCATGTATGTTCATCAGTGATATTGGCCTGTAGTTTTCTTTCTTTGTGACATCTTTGTCTTGTTTTGGTATCAGGGTGATGGTGGCCTCGTAGAGTGAGTTTGGGAGTGTTTCTCCCTCTGCTATCTTTTCGAAGAGTTTGAGAAGGATAGGTGTTAACTCTTCTCTAAATGTTTGATAGAATTCGCCTGTGAAGCCATCTGGTCCTGGGCTTCCATTTGTTGGAAGATTTTTAGTCACAGTCTCAATTTCAGTGCTTGTGACTCGTCTGTTTCTATTTTCTGTTTCTTCCTGGATCAGTCTCAGAAGGTTGTGCTTTTCTAAGAATTTGTCCATTTCTTCCAGGTTGTCCATTTTATTGGAATATAGTTGCTTCTAGTAATCTCTCATGATCCTTTGTATTTCTACAGTGTCAGTTGTTACTTCTCCTTTTTCATTCCTAATTTTGTTGATTTGAGTCCTCACCCTCTTTTTCTTGATGAGTCTGGCTAATGGTTTATCAATTTTGTTTATCTTCTCAAAGAACCAGCTTTTAGTTTTATTGATCTTTGCTATTTTTTTCTTTGTTTCTATTTCATTTATTTCTGCTCTGATTTCTTCCCTTCTACTAACTTTGGGTTTTGTTTGTTATTTCCCTTGTTCCTTTAGGTGTAAGGTTAGGTTGTTTATTTGAGATGTTTGTTTTTTCTTGAGGTAGGATTGTATTGCTATAAACTTCCTTCTTTGAACTGCCTTTGCTGCATCCCATAGGTTTTGGGTTGTCGTGTTTTCACTGTCTTTTGTTTCTATGTATTTTTTAATTTCCTCTTTGATTTCTTCAGTGATCTCTTGGTTATTTAGTAGTGTATTGTTTAGCTTTTATGTGTTTGTATATTTACTGATTTTTTCCTCTAATGGGTATCTGGTCTCATAGCGTTGTGGTCGAAAAGATACTTGATACGATTTCAATTTTCTTAAATTTACCAAGGCTTGATTTGTGACCCATGATATGAGCTATCCTGGAGAATGTTCCATGAGCACTTGAGAAGAAAGTGGATTCTGTTGTTTTTGTATGGAATGTCCTATAAATATCAATTAAGTCCATCTTGTTTAATGTATCATTTAAATCTTGTGTTTTCTTATTTATTTTAATTTTGGATGATGTGTGCATTGGTGAAAATGGGGTGTTAAAGTCCCCTTCTATGAATGTGTAGCTGTCACTTTCCCCTTTTATGGCTGTTCACATTTGCCTATGTATTGAGGAGCTCCTATGTTGGGTGCATAAATATTTACAATTGTTATATCTTCTTCTTAGATTGATCCCTTGATCATTATGTAGTGTCATTCTTTGTCTCTTGTAATAGTCTTTATTTTAAAGTCTATTTTGTCTGATATGAGAATTGCTACTCCAGCTTTATTTTGATTTCCATTTGTGTGGAATATATTTTTCCATCCCCTCACTTTCAGTCTGTATGTGTTCCTAGGTCTGAAGTGGGTCTCTTGTAGACAGCATGTATACAGGTGTTGTTTTTGTATCCATTCAGCCAGTCTATATCTTTTAGTTGGAGCATTTAATCCATTTACATTTAAGGTAGTTATCGATATGTATGTTCCTATTACCATTTTCTTAATTGTTTTGAGTTTGTTATTGTAGATATTTCCTTCTCCTGTGTTTCCTGTCTAGGGAAGTTCCTTTAGCATTTGTTGTAAAGCTCGTTTGGTGGTGCTGAATTCTCTTAGCTTTTGCTTGTCTGTAAAGGTTTTAATTTCTCCGTCAGATCTGAACGAGATCCTTGCTGGGTAGAGTAGTGTTGGTTGTAGGTTTTTCCCTTTCTTCACTTTAAATATGTCCTGCCACTCCCTTCTGGCTTGCAGAGTTTCTGCTGAAAGATCAGCTCTTAACCTCATGAGGATTCCCTTGTATATTATTTGTTATTTTTCCCTTGCTGCTTTTAATATTTTTTTTCTTTGTATTTAATTTCTGATAGTTTGATTAATATGTGTCTTGGCATGTTTCTCCTTGGATTTATCTGGAATAGGACTCTCAGTGCTTCCTGGACAGGATTAACTACTTCTTTTCCCATATGAGGGAAGTGTTCAACTATAATCTCTTCAAATATTTTCTCAGTCCCTTTCTTTTTCTCTTCTTCCTCTGGGACCCCTATATTTTGAATATTTGGTGTGTTTAATGTTGTCCCAGTGGTTTCTGAGACTGTCCTCAATTCTTTTCATTCTTTTTTCTTTATTCTGATCTGTAGTAGTTATTTCCACTATTTTATCTTCCAGATCACTTATCCGTTCTTCTGCCTCAGTTACTGTGTTATTGATTCCTTCTAGAGAATTTTTAATTTCATCTATTGTGTTGTTCATCATTGTTTATTTGCTCTTTAGTTCTTCTAGGTCCTTGTTAAACATTTCTTGTATTTTCTGCATTCTATTTCCAAGATTTTGGATCATCTTTAGTATCATTACTCCTAATTCTTTTTCAGGTAGACTGCCTATTTCCTCTTCATTTGTTTGGTCTGGTGGGTTTTTACCTTGCTCCTTCATCTGCTGTGTGTTTCTCTGTCTTCTCATTTTTCTTATCTTACTGTGTTTGGGGTCTCCTTTTCACAGTCTGCAGGTTCTTAGTTCCCGTTGTTTTTGGTGTCTGCCCCCAGTATCTAAGGTAGGTTCAGTGGGTTGTGTAGGCTTCCTGGTGGAGGGGACTGGTGGCTGTGTTCTGGTGGATAAGGCTGGATCTTGTCTTTCTGGTGGGCAGGACCACATCCAGTGGTGTGTTTTGGGGTGTCTCTGACCTTATTATGATTTTAGGCAGCCTCTCTGCTAATGGATGGGGTTGTGTTCCTGTCTTGCTAGGTGTTTGGCATAGGGTGTCCAGCACTGTAGCTTGCTGGTCCTTGAGTGGATCTGGGTCTTAGCATTGAGATGGAGATCTCTGGGAGAGCTTTCGCTGTTTGATATTACGTGGAGCCAGGAGGTCTTTGGTGGACCAATGTCCTGATCTCAGCTCTCCCACCTCAGAGACACAGTCCTGACACCCGGCTGGAGCACAAAGACCCTTTTGGGAAGTCTGCGGTCTTCTGCCAGTATTCAGTAGGTGTTCTGTAGGAGTTGTTCCACACATAGATGTATTTCTGATGTATTTGTGGGGAGGAAGGTGATCTCCATTTCTTTCTCCTCTGCCATCTTGAAGACCTCTCCTTACCTACTGTTTTTAGTTCTAGTTTTATCATGAATTCATCTATAGTTAGGCTTCTATTTTGAGCACAATTCAATAATTCATCCTCTAATGCTATTGCATACCTAGTTCAGTTAAATTTTTAGGTAGTTGTAATTAAGACTGTAAATTCTTTAAAGGGGGGGGTCATGCTTTCCATTTCTCTGTGTGCTCTAAGTAGGAATCATGAAAATGATACTCGCAACAATCTATTATACCTTTACGTCATTACAGCCGTCCTCTAGGGTTGGATTATTATATCATTTAATAAATGAAGACGCTGAAACTCACATAGGTGATAGTTGCAGAGCCACAATTCAAATTTAGATCATGTCACTGCAAATCCAGTTCTCTTAACCACTATGATAAATTTCTAAACTACATATCATAGTGCCTTGTGTAATAATCACCAGTAAAGGCTTATTATTTTGAAAGTCTTGTTTGGTTCTTCTCCTTTCCAGATGGACCCCCATGAGAACATATTACTGAGCACTCTTGAGATAAAAAATGAAATGGCCACTTCCGAGGCTGTGCTGGGACTTGGAGACCCCAGGAGCACAATGCTGGCCTGCGATGCCTCCAGCATCCAGTATCGGAAAGCCGGGTTACCCAGGCATAGTTTTGGCCGAAATGCCCTGGAACGGCACGTGGCACAGAAGAAAAGCCGCCTGCGGAGACGCGCCTCCCAACTGAAAATCACCATCCCCGACTTGACTGATGTGAATGCCATAGATCGGTGGTCCCGCATATTCTTCCCAGTGGTTTTTTCCTTCTTCAACATCGTCTATTGGCTTTACTATGTGAACTAAAACATAGCCTCCCATGGGAAGCAAGGACTAGATTCCTCCTCAAACCAGTTGTACAGCCTGATGTAGAACTTGGAAAACACATCACTCCAGGACAAAAGTGATGCTAAAATACCTTAGTTGCTGGCCTATCCTGTGGTCCATTTCATACCATTTGGGTTGCTTCTGCTAAGTCATGAATACACTAAGGTCCCTGTGGTTTTCCAGTTAAAATGCAAGTGATTTGTACACATGCTGGCAAGACTGAGTCTGAGTGTCCCACTTTATCTGCTTAGTACACAGCCTATACGGAGGGCAGTAATTTAGAAGATATTCTAGAAGGGTCAATAGCGTCATCAGTCATTTCGCAGAGAAGCGGTCATACCCAGATACTCCCCGTCTTCCTTCCTAAGGTTGGCATGTGGTCTGCTGTGCCACGCAAACGTGCTAACTGAAGGTGGTCTATGCCTGTCTTATTAAGGTGATAATGGTGCCATGGGAAGTTAATTCCCACTGGATTGTAGAAGGTTCTCGTGTAGTTCAAACAGGATAGGGTGAGTCAAGACAGAGACTCAGGAAACCAGTTTGGCCAGGCTCTGTTTGCTTGAGCATAAGAATCAACTCCAACATCTTCTACTTTGACATTTAGAGAAGGGGAGACTTCTGAACGTTTTCATGCATGGGGGCCAAATAAATTTTTCTAAGAGGCTATTTCCGAGGTCATTAAACTAAGAGTTAATAACCCAGAGCAGAGTGGGAAATCCAGAAACAGCTGTTGTAACAAAATTAAAGCAAGTGAGCAGCATGACCCTTATCAGCCCCTTGTAGCATCTGGTCCACACATACCGTGTTCAGTGGCGAAAGGTAGAGTGAGAGACATTTTTTTTCCTCCAACCTCACAAGCTTTTGACAGCATACCTAGAGAGGATTTTATAGTTTATCTAATAAAAAGACAACCCCCAAATAGAAAAGTTAGTGGAATTAGAATCATCTTAGGTTACACTGGGAGTCATTCCAATATATGAATATAAAGCACAGACAGCTAACAAACAGGATGCTTTTCTCAGACAGTGTCAGCTGTCTCTACAACATTTTCCTACCGTTTATTTCTGAATTTAATAGGTTATTTCAAAGGAAGGATTTGTTCATTTCTTTAGAGGATTAATGGTCTTTTCTAACTTTTCTTGCTTCTGAAATTCTGATTATATTCTTAAGAGAGACACAGTAAGGCTTTGGAGAGATTTTGAGAGAACTGTGTTTCATTATGTGCAGTGAAGTTCACTTTTGTATCTTTCATAGCAAACGGTACTTCAAAGATTATGTGCACAAGTAGGGTTACTTTGTAGTTTTGCTGGGTTTGATTTTTTTAAGGGTGATTTCATTGTGTATGTTGCAATCTGCCTAATCAAAGAAAATAGGAAAAGTCATGGAAAAGAGAATAACATTAACATGGTGAACGTTATGAGCCTCAGTTGATACTGTAGAAAAATATATAACATAATCAGGCAGGCACGATGTACTGTTTTTATTCAATTTTTAAATTATGCCATTGTGCTTCTTTCTATACTAATTGGATATATGCATTCATATGTTGGACAGAAAAGAGAATAAGCTGATATATTTTATTCTGTCAATGTGCGGTTCATATTTTGCCTTTCTCAGAGAAAATAGTGAATTGCTCATTTTTCCTTAGAGTTTGATTTGACTGAACTTTTTCTTGGAGGATGACTTTGCTATTTCTATTTAAAAAATAAACACTTCTTTTCAGAGTAACATCCCTAATTGTGCATAGTAGCCAAGGCCAGTATCTGCCTGTGGATAAAATGTATGTTTTCTTCCCCTGATGATTCAGCAGCTTCAAATATGATGGAGTCTTGCTGCCCTTCTATTCCCACTATTAGAGAAAAAAAAGGTTTAGCATCCAGCTTTCTGAATTTGCCCCCCCAAATGGGATAATATTTTTTTTCACCAGCATAGGGAACTCTGGCCCTTACTTTTTTGATTATACACTTGAACACCTCTGAGTATGATCTTTGGGCAGAATGCAACCTACATGCTGCCCCTGGGCTCAGAGCAGAGATTCCTCAAGTTTCTCCTGGGACACACTTTCCCCTGGGCAATCATTTTGGGACATCACGCTAATAAAAGTGCCTGCCCCTTGTCACTAGGGCTTAAAGTTTGAGTAGTATATATTAGGAAGGCGCATATTGATAACTCAGGTGTACAACTCCAAAATGCCATTCTGGAAAAGTTTTTCTAGAGACAACTCAGAGCTCCAATCTAAAAGTGGACTCTTAATTGCAATTATCATAAAAGCCATAAAAATCCTTCATATTGTCATTTATGGTTACAACAAAATTTTGATGTCCAGGGAAGTCAACAGAGAAATCTAGATCAAAGTGGACAGAAGCAGCTTTGCAACATGAGCCTCAAAAGCATATGACCAGGGATTCATTTCCGCCTGCAAAGATAAGAAAAATCTAGGGAAAAGGAGAAGATGGGACCTTGAAACAGAAGCCCTAGAGCGAAATCCATATATTGGCATTCAATAACCATGTAGGTAGAAAAAACTGCCTCATCCTGCCCAGAGATAACAGTAGATATAGAATTTATTCTTAAAGTGTATTTTTATTGTATTTGAATCGGATTTTAGTCACCAAATTGGGGGAGGGCCAGGGAGGGGTGCTAGATCTTTAAGTCTTCAAAAAGACCAGTCAGCTTGATATCCAGTGTTTAAATTTAAGGACCACAAAAGTATGTTTTGGCAATTCTGATATGATATTACTATCAGTTTATACATATATGTATAGTTTTTCTTTTGGTAATAAAACAGCCAGATAGCCAGCAATTAAGGTGTTTTTCATCTTTGTGAAATTCATAGGCAAATTCTGACTCTAAAATGCACAGTCTAAATGCAATCTTTGATCTCAATCTGTATATATATTGTACATGACTGCTAGTAGGTATGAAATGCATTTTCAGAACTGAAAACTCATGCAACATAATCATGTGTTTGCATAAGGAATGTTACAATTCTTTCTACTGCAATTCAATAACGGGAAAAGACTTAAGCAGTGCCATCTAGACCTTTTCTCATTTCTTCAAAAGCAGTGCTAAGTGAAAAAATAATAATAATACAAATGGTTTAGGAACCAAAAGACTTTACATTCTAGCATTAGGAACACAAAAAATCTTTCAGCTTACAAAAGCACAATGCATAGAGAAAGTTCAGTGGAATGCATAATGGAGAAATGAGTCACATTTATTTTAAGCAAGACCCGCATTAAATTGGCAACTAAGACAAATTTCCATTTTCTATAGGTAACTGTTGTCCAATTTGATGATTAAAGTCATACTCAATAACAAAAACAGCCAACAAGCAGGTCTACAACATATCTACATGTATATATGTGTATATATAGATCCATGTAAACATACATACATATATATGCATTCATACGTTGGAAAACAAAAGGAATAAGCTAATATGTTTATTTCCTTCATTAAATCAGTGTATGAATATTTTTCATTTGGCAACTGACAAATCAACATATTGAAACAAGTAATACAGGGTACTGAGCATTTCTCTATCAGCGAATCAATGCCTACAGTTCTTATGAACCACTGCACAGTTTGACACTACAATAGTACTGTACCTCAGAACATAGAAATTAACTAGTTTTCACATTGCTTGTCTACTCTCTTTTTCAAGGAAACAACATTGTCCATTGGTGATTTAAAAAGGAAAATGTCTTAAGAAAACACAAAATGATAAAAAAAAAAAAATTCCTCCTAAGAGGAGGAAAAAAAATAACTAAACCCCACCATGTTGGTTAGGGCAGATATTCTCAACTGTAGCAATCATGCCATTTTGCTGAGTATACAGAGTCCATGTAATGTGAGCAACCATAACTTTCACTGAACGTGTGTAAATATTAAAACAGATTTCTTAAATATTTTTAACTTCTAATTTGTATTTTATGGTAAGGCAACATGCTAATTCTGTTTATGGCTTAAGTTGATGTGTTATTATGTAAATAATTAAACATGCTGTAAATGAATAGTCGATAGATACAAATAATTGTTTAGGTTTTTTTTCCTTAATTTTTATTTATTTTTTACTAAGTACAGTTGCTGCAGCCCCAGCAGAGAAATTTAAATACCCTTTTGCATAAATGGTTTGGGATCCCAGACAGAAGGGTTTCATTTGCTATCACACAGACACACACACACACACACACACACACACACACACACACATACACATTCAAACACACATACTCTTTTACTTGCCCGCTCAGTCATTCCCACTCTCGCCCCCTCTATGGGAAATGCTATAGTGTTTATGTAGTCGATGAAACAACCGAGAGATAGCCTTAGAAATGGCAACTGGGAAAAGCAGAAATGATCATTGATTACTTGATAGAATTTTTTTATATGTAAGAGTTTAAGAAATCAAAGATCATAACTTAAATCTTAATTTTCAAAGAGTAAAGGTTTATATTGATGGCACTTCAGGAAATAAAAATGCTTTTTATTCATACCTGCTCCAGAAATGTGTTACACATAATACATAGAGACCTTTTTTTTAATAATAGCATTTTGTCCTTAGGTAGTATTGTTCCTTTTAACCAAAGACTCCAGAATTATTTAAAAAGAAAAAAGAAAAGGAAAAAGAAAAAATGAGGGAAAATGGGAAAAAAAGACACTGCTTCACACCAAAGGTTTAAAAAATATTTTCCAAATACACTAGGAACATTGTAAAAAGTGGTAAGGAGCCAACAGAATGCTAATTAAGACACCACACTAAAGAAGTCATTTAAGAAAAAAAAACACTTAAATATCTATTAGTTATTTGCAAATTGAAGTAAAACATTTCTGTAAATCCATAGATGAATGCAAAACGCTGACATCGGGTTTTAATTTGCTTTGAGAATTTGTTTTGTGAAAAAGGTAAATGTGATCCAAACTGAAGAACAAATCTTTGTGTTTTTTTAACTTTAAAACCAAATGTCTCTTTCCTGTCACACGTCATTATTCTGATGCCCATATGTGTGTCCTGGCACCATCTGAAGCAAGTTGACAGTTTCATCAGCTTGTATCTTTCTCTTTTTAGTTCAATAATTTGAGTTCAGTGTTCATTTTAAACATATTAATTCAAAGTTGAAAATAATTTAAATTCCATAACATTTTAAAGTTTTTATTTGCATGGGTGTTTAAATAGTTCTGTTATGAATATTG